TTTGCGGCCATCAAGGAGACGCTATCAATATGCGGGAGATTCCCGGACCTTCCGACGCGATATGACGATCACATCACCTCAGATCTGAGCGTCTATTCATCAAGCCAACGCGCCGCAATCTATCGCAAATCAAAGTGAAAGTAAGTCGCAGACGCTTAACACTAGCATCTTCATTAAAAGTAAAGGAATGAAATGATCTTTCCAGTTCTGTTGCCGCTCTCCCTTATTGCTGTCTTTGCTGATTTTGAAATTAGCAGCTGATCAATAAAATGCAGTGCAAATCTGTTGCTTTCGGTGACGTTTGCACTTCATTACATCTATAGCATGGGAATTGAATATCGGATTTATATCTGTATTGCAAAAACACATTTATGTGACCAGGTGTAAATGGAATCGTTTTGATAAATCAGAGCTATCCGATCTGAGAAAACAAATGAAGTGGCCAAGTATAAACAGCCCCCTAAATGTTTATTGTAGTAATGTTAGATGTCCCTCCAGTGGGCCGAACGTGTAACAACAACCACAGGCTATAGTGGCATTGACGATCCATAAGAATGTGTAATGTCGTAAATATTATAAATTTGAGCATTTAAAATTCGATTCGAATATTATTTGAATATTACATAAAATAAGGAATGGAATTCGAATAGTATTCTAGCGGAAGATTGACAGCCCTAGTTCCCAGTAGGAACTTTTAACTGGAGCAAGTCAGAGTTGGGACTGAAAAACTGCAAAAACCCAACTTCTGACTCCAATACGGCATCTCAGCACATCAACCATAATGACACAGTAGAAATATATATATTAGGGCTGGGAATCGATTAAAAAAAGTTACTTATTAATTGCACAATTTGCTGTGAGTAATTGCAAGTAATTTCATTTCCCCAACCTTGTAATTATCAATATTTAAACGTAGAATCACCAAATTAAATTTAATTTAATTTAATTAACCCAAAAATAGAGAAAATTGGCAGCCGAAAATTCAGTGCATCCCGCTTCTGTGGTAATTGAATTCTGCATTTGCAAGTGCTGCGTCAATTGTGCTATTCTTTTTTTACGCGTTAAACATCTCAAATGTCGCGTTTTACGCGTTAAACATCTCAAAACATCTCAGCCCTACGATAACATGGTATATAATAGATTTTTTATTACTGTAATACTTCTGTCAACACGGGTAAATGGAACATAATCTTTCCTTAAAGCGCTTCTGCACTTGTGATGTTCAGCCCCTATTACTTTTTTCATACAAGTAGCATTTGTGTAGCAGACATAAATATGTGCATCAGCATCTGTTGATCTTATAAGTGTTTTCACCGTCTGCTTTCAATGATTGGTGAACGCATTTGTGCTGAACTGATTAATCGACAATTGTTCACTAATTAATCATTGATATCTCTATCTAGTGTGTTCAGCAGCTTTGATTTTCTCCATTTAATCTAACTGAAATTGTCTTTGCATGTTTTGTTTATCCTCACAGGGTCCCTGAAAGACAGGCACATTGAAAATGGGAGTGAACTCTACGCCATATTTACACCAAAAGAAAACTTACGAGGAACTGCCAGACCCTCCCAGGAAAACAACATGAGAAATGAAGGCCCACACAGCGTCTTCTGTCATGTGATGCTAAAAGTAACAAGACAAAAATAATGTTGTCTATTTATATGCTGCTTTTCCAAACGTCAATACATTTTATATTTCATATATTTCACCATCACCCTTTTTTTGGGTTTGAAAGGTCTGACCATGAGCTACTGGTTAAATGTCATTCTACCGTGAGCATGAGGGTAAATGCTGAGAGAATACACATTTATTTGGAGGACTGTACCTAATTGTGTGTTTATTAAGAATAGGGTACCAGCCATAAGTAAACGTCATAGAGGGGTAATTTACACACATTCGAGTGATTATGAGAATGTAAAGCTGAGTTACAGAGTTACAATTTATTTATAACCTCTTATAAACGTCACCGCTGGTCACATGGTCTATGGTACCATACATTTAAACTTAACAAACAATGCTGTCAATATTTTCTCTAGGAACTTTTTGACTCTTGGAAATGTTCTTACTTCCACAGCCTTTTTTAGCTTCTTCCCGTGGCTTTGATGAGAGCTCTTCTGTCTTGGCCATATTATCTACTCAATTTCTGCACATGCATGGGTTCAATTTAGGCATGGACCAACTAGTGTACATGTACACACACAAAACTTAAATGTTTTTTTTTTTTTTTTTTTTTACAAACAGGGTAGGTATGAAATCCATGTGAACTTGGATTGTGACACATTGACTGACTTGAGAGGACGGCTTTCACTTGAGAGTGGAATACCTTCACACGTTCTTTACCTCAAGTAATTTGCTTCATTTTAATATGGAAAGCAGATAGATCAAAACACAAATATTCTAAAAAATATATATTTTAAACCTTACCTAATTTAATCAGTACTTTATATTTCTCTCTTTTACAGAGACTATAGATGTAAAGTCAATGATACACTACATAATCTTGGAATCAGTGAAGACACGTTGCTGCAATTCTCTTTGTCCTCATTTCACAATGGAGCACCGCAGATTAATAAATTCTGCCAAAGTGATGTCACACCATCAGTGAAACAAACCGAGAAGGGCCTCAGTGCCTTTTTCTCAGTTTTGAATGCCATTGTAAGTTTCCTTTTCTGATTACTTGTTTTACTTTTTTCAGCATTAAACACTTACTTTGCATTCAAAATATTTGCTTTACACACCAGGTCTCATGTTATAGTGTTTCTTTGGCAAGAAAGTTTGTCAAATGCTCTCTAGAATCAAAATCACTTATAGTATATATGGCAAATAAAGTGTACTAAATAGATGACAGGGAGCAATTCAGATAATTAAGAAAACATCATCAGTATGACAACGCGTTTTTCTGGATTTGTTTGCATAGTGAGTTTTTGCAGCAGGTTTCTGTATTAGGTTGCATAGTGAGTATTTGCAGTGCGTTTGTTTGCATAGTGTGTATTTGCAGCGGGCTTCTGTATTTGGTTGCATAGTGTGTATTTGCAGCGGGCTTCTGTATTTGGTTGCATAGTGTGTATTTGCAGCGGGCTTCTGTATTTGGTTGCATAGTGAGTGTTTGCAGCGGGTTTCTGTATTTGGTTGCATAGTGAGTGTTTGCAGCGGGTTTCTGTATTTGGTTGCATAGTGAGTGTTTGCAGTGCGTTTCTGTATTTGGTTGCATAGTGTGTATTTGCAGTGGGTTTTTGTATTTGGTTGCATAGTGAGTATTTGCAGTGCGTTTGTTTGCATAGTGAGTATTTGCAGCAGGTTTCTGTATTTGGTTGCATAGGGAGTATTTGCAGTGCATTTCTTTATTTGGTTGCATAGTGAGTATTTGCAGTGCATTTCTGTATTTGGTTGCATAGTGTGTATTTGCAGTGGGTTTTTGTATTTGGTTGCATAGTGAGTATTTGCAGTGCGTTTGTTTGCATAGTGAGTATTTGCAGTGCATTTCTTTATTTGGTTGCATAGTGTGTATTTGCAGTGGGTTTTTGTATTTGGTTGTATAGTGAGTATTTGCAGTGCGTTTGTTTGCATAGTGAGTATTTGCAGTGCATTTCTTTATTTGGTTGCATAGTGAGTATTTGCAGTGGGTTTTTGTATTTGGTTGCATAGTGAGTATTTGCAGTGCGTTTGTTTGCATAGTGAGTATTTGCAGTGCATTTCTTTATTTGGTTGCATAGTGTGTATTTGCAGTGGGTTTTTGTATTTGGTTGCATAGTGAGTATTTGCAGTGCGTTTGTTTGCATAGTGAGTATTTGCAGTGCATTTCTTTATTTGGTTGCATAGTGTGTATTTGCAGTGGGTTTTTGTATTTGGTTGCATAGTGAGTATTTGCAGTGCGTTTGTTTGCATAGTGAGTATTTGCAGCAGGTTTCTGTATTTGGTTGCATAGTGAGTATTTTAGCAGCTGTAATATGTTTTCAGCATGAAACCCGCTGAAGTCTTTTTGCCACTCACTGTGAGTAACTGCAGGCACTCCGGCCGATGGTGACGTCATGCGCATTCCCTCTATACTAACCTGATGCTTGGTTCAAAAACAGATACAGTAACCTACATTAAACCACATTAGGCTATACTTATGCATCATGAATGGGCTAAAAAAAAATGTGTTTGTAAATCTAATACTATGCTTCCTCTCAATCTAATTCTGAACATCCAGAGAAAAAAAAATAGAGGAGAGGGGTTCAAGAATGTGATTGCATACATTCGGAAAATCAGTGGATGCAATGCCTTAGCCCAGAGCTTGTTTCAGGTTATCTGCCAAAACAAGACTGGTACACGGGTTCAGAAGGTAAAATACAATTTTACATAAATGTTGTTCCTATAAATATGCTATATATATACATTTATGTTATGCCTTAATGTATTATATTGCCTCTACTTACAGATTGCCATAGTTGAAGGACTGTACTATCTCTTCAGAGAGTTGTTACCCAGCCATACAAAAAGATCTGATGACAGGATAATTGAGGACATGGATGTTTTTGAGTATTCCCCAGTTTGCTGGGCCTACCTCATATCTCAAGCAAAGGTATAAGTGCATTGCATAATGTGCAGGTGTTTTCAAAGAAGTGTTTTGACAGGTTTTACGATTGTAAAAGTGTTAAAAGGTCATGCAAAAAAAGCCTTTTTTCCCCAAATGCAAAAAAGTTAACAACAGCATTTAATTGATACCAGTATTTCTCCCTGCAGGATGTGAGCACAGAGCATGAGAACTATGCTTCAATTTGCATGAAGGCACAGTCAACAAATCAGCGTTTCTCTGAGCCGGTGCGTGTCCCAGGCGTGCCTGAAGTGTTTGAGAGAGAGTATGTGCTGGATGTCATTAGAGGTAGAAGTCTTCACTTTTCATGTGATTGTTTATTTATGCTGTATGTAGGGTTGCCAACTTCTGAAAAGAAAAATGCGGGACAATCGGGGTTCTATACAGGAAAATAAGGGACACTCAAAACATTTGTACTGTATCACACACTGTGTCATTTCAGGTCCGTATGCGTTTAAAAGACAAAAACACATTTGTTTTGCTTAACTTGTTATGTACAATTTAATTCCGAAACAAATTTTAATGTCACACAAAACAGCTCAATATAATAACATTCATAATATAAATCTCCTTTGAACCTTCTATTCTTCAAATAATCCTGACTTATTTTTTCAAGACAAGACATGTTTCTTGGGCATCAAATCACATCAGCATATGTTCATGTATATATTTCATGTTTTCATGTGTGGCTGGATGTTGGACTCATGAACAATAATCACTTAAATGGTTTAAATTCACCAAAACGGATTTACGGAAATCAAAACCTGGCCGGACAGTGAAAGGGATTTGCCGTTAGCGCGAGTCCGGGTCAAACCGGGAGCGACCAGACAGCTGAGGATTCTGTGCACAAATCAAATAATTTGTCCCAAAAGAATAATTAATTCTCAAGTTAGAGTTTATTGGTATGATCCAATAAATTGGATGAAGCGCGTGATTGGATGGTGACCGGTTTCGTGGTCATTCTCAAGTGTTGTGTTGCTGTTGTATCAGTCAGATCAGCGTAGCTCTCAATAAACGGGACAAGAGTAAGTACTGAATAGTTTAAAATCGTTTGAATGTTTAAACTGTTAAGACTTAAAGACGTGCAAATGGTAAATTTTAGTGATGATGCAATGCTGACCCGATTAAGCAAGTTAATATCCCGTCATGTGCCGACTCCTAAGCGCGAGTGTGTAGTTTCACCGGCTGACGTTTGCCTTGAGCAGCCGTTTTGAGAGACGAGAGAGAAGACGCAGCACCATTGAACTCGCGCTGTTTGTGAAATTGCGTCTCGCAGAACGTTTTAAAACTACTGATTTGATTTTAAAGTCTGTGGATTCATTTACTAATACAACCTACATGCTAAAGTGAATCGATGTTTTGCGGGAATTTCCCGCATTAATAGTGGTAGAGCTGTGGGAATGATTAAAAGAACATTTTACTTAAAAAAAACAACAAACATCTACAGTATTTAGGGTTATTTTAAAGAACTTCAGAAATAAATCATCATGCAGCATATCATCAGTGTTTCTCAGCTCATCCTGGACTGAAGCTCAGGCACTACTCTTCAACACAATAGGGACCTAGTTCACACATTGCATCAAGAATTTAAATTAAAATACATTTTTTATTTTTCTTACAAAAACCCGTCGCTTCGCTTCAGAAGGCCTTTATTAAAGGGTTAGTTCACCCAAAAATGAAAATTAAGTCATTAATTACTCACCCCCATGCTGTTCCAACCCCGTAAGACCTTCGTTCATCTTCGGAACACAAATAAAGATATTTTTGATTTAATCTGAGAGCTGGATCACTCTTCCATAGACTGCCTAAGGGACTGGCTCTTGACGGCCCAGAAAGTCATTAAAGAAAAGGTTTAAATATTCCATGTGCCTACAGCGGCTCAATTATAAGTTTATCAAGCGACGAGACTACTTTTTGTGCGAAAAAAACATAAATAACGACTTAATTCGACTATTCTATTACTTCCTTATGGGCGCATGCGCGAGAACTGAGACGAGGACGTTCTCCTTCGTCTACTTCTTGTTACCGGCTGCTCCACTAAGGAGTTTTACCGCCACCTACCGTATAAGATGATGATCCATATATAAGGCGCTCCGGATTATAAGGAACACTGTCGTTTTTTGAGAAGATTAAAGGCTTTTAAGTGCACCTTTTAGTGCGGAAATTGAAAAGCGTATGTACAGCGCGCATCTTCCTCTGCTTGTAAACAGAAAGTTTTGCGCTTCCAGCTATATCAGCACATCATCTTATACGGTAGGGGGCGGTAAAACTCCTAAGCGGTGAGCAGCCGGTAACAAGAAGTAGTCGAAGGAGAACGTCCTCGTCTCAGTTCTCGCGCATGCGCCCATAAGGAAGTAATAGAATAGTCGAATTAAGTCGTTATTTATGTTTTTTTCGCACAAAAAGTATTCTGGTCGCTTGATAAACTTATAATTGAGCCGCTGTAGGCACATGGAATATTTAAACCTTTTCTTTAATGACTTTATGGGCCGTCAAGAGCCAGTCCCTTAGGCAGTCTATGGAAGAGTGATCTAGCTCTCAGATTCAATCAAAAATATCTTTATTTGTGTTCCGAAGATGAACGAAGGTCTTACGGGGTTGGTACAGCATGGGGGTGAGTAATTAATGACCTAATTTTTCATTTTTGGGTGAACTAACCCTTTAACTCCTGTAGCCGTATGGACTCAAACTTGCTTAATGAGGAAAATAGTCCCAACTCTGTAAACTCAGTCTACCCTATCGTAATACGTATTATTCTGTTTTTATTTTTGTATTTTTTAGAGGGAGGAATTATTCCAAACTGCTCTGAACTGAATCTTAAAGAGACCTCAATCAAAAAAGCCACTGATGTTGAAAAGATTCTGCTCAGTCTCCCGCCGTTCCTTGAATACGTCCCCTCTGGACTGACTATGACGGCACTACACCCGAGTCCAGGTATCACACTTTTCACCTGCTAAATGTTAGATTTACATTTGAAACCGCTACAGCAGCCGGGAAGATAATGGGCTATTGGCTTTTTACGCTGCTTGTAAAGAAGTGTTGGGATGCTCGGGATCTGTGATGATAACAGGTTTGTGTGTACTCCTGAGTTTATTCTGATGGAAATATCTTAAACTCCAACAATCTTTTGGAAAAGGTGTTTTAACCACACAAACAGCCCAATTTGAATGAAGCTCGCATTACAGATTAATTAATCAGATTCAGTTCCCGTCCCGAGCGTAAAGCCTAACGTGATTGGTTGTAGCGAGAACGTGCTACGATTGGTCAGGTCAATGTGGCCGTTATCTGATTGGCTTAGATAAATGGTGGGTGGAGTCCACTTATTTGTGGATTTATCAGAAATAAGTTAGCATTGGTAAAGTCGTTTATTTTGCTGTTATTAAACATGAATATATGATAAAACAGTACCAGTTAACATGGTTGATGGTCAAATATCTGGACATGCCTAGTAGTTAATGTTAATTATTGATTTCTCAAGACGTACACAGACGTCACTATCTGTGTTTCCATTGCCCTTCAAACTGCGTGAATTGGCTTTATGCCCAGCTGCACTACTTCCTGAACTTCAGCCAGCTCCTTGTTTCCTGTCTGCCGTTATTGGCCAAATTGATTAAATCAGGTGTGTCTGATTATTGTTGCCATGACTACTGAGGTCAGGCGCACCTGGATTAATCAGTTTGGCCAATAATGGAAGACAGGAAACAAGGAGCTGGCTGAAGTTTAGGAAGTAGTGAAGCTGTGCATAAAGCCCATTGCGAATCGAAAATTAGGCCAATGGAAACATGTCAATTTCATAAAAACTCCCATTTAACGCAAAATCAGTGTTGCCAGTACTTTCCCATAATATCAAGAAGAAGAAAAAAAGCAATGTACTATAAAAGCCTAGGAGTCAAATTTACTAAACAAGACAATTCCTCTCGGCTATTAAAAGCCCTTTTACTTAGTAGAAAAATAATGTGAATCAAATTATTCTCATTTGATTCACATTATTTTTCTAAACAATTTCTATAATTATGGGGTTAGACCCCCACTTCCATGCTTGTATTGAATGGCCACATGCAGCAATGCAGCACTTACATGTACTGTAAAGTCGTTTTCTTTTTATGACACTGGATAGTGGCCTTCGAGGAGCAGACTAGACACTTCTGGAGTAAATTTTGGAGGCCTGAGACTATTGGTTTTATTTTTAGACTTTTTAGACTTTCTTGCATCTCCCTTTTGAAGTCATTGGTTCATTTTTTGAACATGCTCTAAATAAAACAAGACAACATTATCAATCATGTCAACATTATCTTGCCTTGTCTTTTTATTAATGAAATTGAGTTGGTCTTTTTCAGCAAAATAAAGATTTATTAGTATCTATAATGCTTATTCTGATGACAATATGCTCTTTTAGTTTTAACTTCAATCCAGAGGAAACATTTGCCGAAATGAACAAGAAAGTGGAAGAGTTTTCTCATTTGGTTGTAACTCCACCGCTACAACTCAAGGGGTTTGGAGTTGAGGGACCACGCTTGATCCTCCTCAGTCACGGTAACTGATGTTACATTAGTATATCATTAAAAGAACTGATAATATTCCACACTATATTACTGGTAACACTATTAACTAATGTTTTATTGTTCTAGAAAAATATGGGATGTACATCTGCAAAGATAAAGGGGGTCCTCAAAAGATTGTTGTTTTCAACCCTCTTGCTGGAGAACACATCACAGTGAACATAGATAAACTGGCTAATAAGTAAGTATTCTTCTTTATTCATCATTTGAGTCGAGGAATAGTCCTTGGTTCACCCCACAAGTCATTCCAAAAGTCAGTTCATTTTTTAATCTTCATTTAATCTAATATTTTGTGCAAGTATAAAAAGTCACACAATTGAATATTGTCAGGGGTCATTATTGTGCTGTAATCTTGTTGGGTTCTATTTGTTAACAGGGAATTTTGTATTAATAAAATAAGGACAGCAGCTTCCAATCAGAATCAAGTATTCAAAAGAGCTGTGTAACAAATACAAATAATTTAGACATGGATTAGTATTTATATACACTCACCCAAAGGATTATTAGGAACACCTGTTCAATTTCTCATTAATGCAATTATCTAATCAACCAATCACATGGCAGTTGCTTCAATGCGTTTAGGGGTGTGGTCCTGGTCAAGACAATCTCCTGAACTCCAAACTGAATGTCAGAATGGGAAAGAAAGCAATTTTGAGCGTGGCATGGTTGTTGGTGTCTGAGTATTTCACAATCTGCTCAGTTACTGGGATTTTCACACACAACCATTTCTAGGGTTTACAAAACATCCAGTATGTGGCAGTCCTGTGGGCGAAAATGCCTTGTTGATGCTAGAGGTCAGAGGAGAATGGGCCGACTGATTCAAGCTGATAGAAGAGCAACTTTGACTGAAATAACCACTCGTTACAACCGAGGTATGCAGCAAAGCATTTGTGAAGCCACAACATGCACAACCTTGAGGCGGATGGGCTACAACAGCAGAAGACCCCACCGGGTACCACTCATCTCCACTACAAATAGGAAAAAGAGGCTACAATTAGGAAGAGCTCAGCAAAATTGGACCGTTGAAGACTGGAAAAATGTTGCCTGGTCTGATGAGTCTCGATTTCAGAAGGTAGAGTCAGAATTTGGCGTAAACAGAATGAGAACATGGATCCATCATGCCTTGTTACCACTGTGCAGGCTGGTGGTGGTGGTGTAATGGTGTGGGGATGTTTTCTTGGCACACTTTAGGCCCCTTAGTGACAATTGGGCATTGTTTAAATGCCACGGCCTACCTGAGCATTGTTTCTGACCATGTCCATCCCTTTATGCCCACCATGTCCCCATCCTCTGATGGCTACTTCCAGCAGGATAATGCACCATGTCACAAAGCTCGAATCATTTCAAATTGGTTTCTTGAACATGACAATGAGTTCACTGTACTAAAATGGCCGCCACAGTCACCAGATCTCAACCCAATAGAGCATCTTTGGGATGTGGTGGAACGGGAGCTTCGTGCCCTGGAGGTGCATCCCTCCAAATCTCCAAGATGCGATCCTATCAATATTGGCCAACATTTCTAAATAATTCTTTCAGCACCTTGTTGAATCAATGACACATAGAATTAAGGCAGTTCTGAAGGTGAAAGGGAGTCAAAAACAGTATTAGTGTGGTGTTCCTAATAACCCTTTAGGTGAGTGAGCATCACAGTCCCGCCCACAGGCCGAGAGAGCGCTGGTGCCGGAAGTAAATTTTTTTTTTTCCCATTGACATTTTGTAAAATCCATATCTAAAGAGTATTAGAGCATGTCTGAGGATAATCAGCTACGGCTGAACTCATAAGCATACAACATATAATTTCGAGTGAAAAAAACGAAGAGAAAATCCCAAAAAAGTCAAGGGTACAAGCCTGTGTACATATTTTCGTTTCCGAGCAAAGGAACTACTCCTCCCATAAACCACCGCACCTCACTTTAGTCGTCTGAAAGCCACCGTGAACAAGCCTTTTGAGTGACTTCCAAATCTGACGACGGGCACATGAACTTTTTCCTAGTGAATGTGCAGGGAAACTCCTTTTCCTCGATTTACTGAAGCAAACGCATTTGCAGCTCAACATGCAAAAACATTGAGTTTCTGGCTCGCTCATTAGCTAAGCTGTGGCAACTGCACATCCAATGGCGCGCGGGCGTCTCAGAGGTGCGACCAATGAACTTAGCCCTACGTCATTACGCGATCCTCAGTCTTCACGTACCTTTTTTTTTCAGACACGTGACACGACTTCCACCAATCAGATGCATCACTGTTAGATTGTGGGATTGTTCAGGAATGTGGGTAATGAAGTACTTATCCAATACATCGCGAATAAAAGGCATTTATCTTAAAACAAAGTTAGTGGCCCATGAACTTTTGGCGTTTATACGAGGATATACAATCGCTTAGTACAGCCGTAGCTGGTTTTAAGTCTACCATGTGTGGTTACGTTTTTATGGCTTATATCTCAAATGTCAATGGAGAAATTGTATTGAATTTTTACTTCCGGCGGCTGTGGGCGGGACTGTGATGCTCTCTCTCGCTCTCTCTCTCTCTCTATATATATATATATATATATATATATATATGCTATTAATACATTCAATAACTGTCAACAAGGTCATAAAAATATCAGTAAACCTTTGATATTATAATGGTTTGGAACAATAGTATTGAACAATGCATAAGCTATACAAATTGTAATCCATTGTAGAAATACTACATTCAGCACTGTGCTGACGTGCGTAAATGTTAATATTATGTAAGCTTTGCAAATATCCATGTGACTGGTTTGATTATGTCTCCCTAGACTTAGAGATGTCAGAGATGATCTAACCTTCAAAGTCACGAAGACCCCAAAAGAAGCTGTTGTGGTATGTGTACCGTTGTACAGACATGTCAAAAAGAATGTTTAATAAATTATTATGTTTAATCTGTGACATTTAATTATTTATTTTTTTTAAAGGTACTTCTTGACTCAAGTTCCTCCATGGGTGAGGAGTGTTTCGACAAAGACTGCAAAATGACGCGAATTGAAGCCGTCAAAGAAATATTTGATTGCTTTGCCAACCGATGCATGGCTTATAATTTTGAGCAAGTTATCTGCCTTGTGAAGTTTGACTCTATAGTGAAAACTCTTCATACATTCACAGAAACAGTGGAAACCTTCAAGGTAAAGTGGTTTTTGTCACCATATATTTGAAAGGGTCAACACCCATATGTTGTAACAACTGAAGCATTTTGAACAAAAAAATTACAGCGAAACATTACACGGGAAAATATTGATTACATTTTTTTTTTTAAACTATAAATTAACACTTAAAAGTGTGAATTATATAAACTCTGAGCTGAGTGTTAAATGAACAGAAAATATTGATTAAAAAAAGTACACTCACCGGCCACTTTATTAGGTACACCTGTCCAACTGCTCGTTAACACTTAATTTCTAAGCAGCCAATCACATGGCGGCAACTCAGTGCATTTAGGCATGTAGACATGGTCAAGACAATCTCCTGCAGTTCAAACCGAGCATCAGTATGGGGAAGAAAGGTGATTTGAGTGACTTTGAACGTGGCATGATTGTTGGTGCCAGAAGGGCTGGTCTGAGTATTTCAGAAACTGCTAATCTACTGGGATTTTCACGCACAACCATCTCTAGGGTTTACAGAGAATGGTCCGAAAAAGAAAAAACATCCAGTGAGCGGCAGTTCTGTGGGCGGAAATGCCTTGTTGATGCCAGAGGTCAGAGGAGAATGGCCAGACTGGTTCGAGCTGATAGAAGGGCAACAGTGACTCAAATAACCACCCGTTACAACCAAGGTGGGCAGAAGAGCATCTCTGAACGCACAGTACGTCGAACTTTGAGGCAGATGGGCTACAGCAGCAGAAGACCACACCGGGTGCCACTCCTTTCAGCTAAGAACAGGAAACTGAGGCTACAATTTGCACAAGCTCATCGAAATTGGACAATAGAAGATTGGAAAAACGTTGCCTGGTCTGATGAGTCTCGATTTCTGCTGCGACATTCGGATGGTAGGGTCAGAATTTGGTGTCTACAACATGAAAGCATGGATCCATCCTGCCTTGTATCAACGCTTCAGGCTGGTGGTGGTGGTGTCATGGTGTGGGGAATATTTTCTTGGCACTCTTTGGGCCCCTTGGTACCAATTGAGCATCGTTGCAACGCCACAGCCTACCTGAGTATTGTTGCTGACCATGTCCATCCCTTTATGACCACAATGTACCCAACTTCTGATGGCTACTTTCAGCAGGATAATGCGCCATGTCATAAAGCTGGAATCATCTCAGACTGGTTTCTTGAACATGACAATGAGTTCGCTGTACTCAAATGGCCTCCACAGTCACCAGATCTCAATCCAATAGAGCATCTTTGGGATGTGGTGGAACGGGAGATTCGCATCATGGATGTGCAGCCGACAAATCTGCGGCAACTGTGTGATGCCATCATGTCAATATGGACCAAACTCCCTGAGGAATGCTTCCAGCACCTTGTTGAATCTATGCCACGAAGAATTGAGGCAGTTCTGAAGGCAAAAGGGGGTCCAACCCGTTACTAGCATGGGGTACCTAATAAAGTGGCCGGTGAGTGTATATACTCATTTTAAAAAGAAATCTACACAGGAAAGTGTAAGCGTTTAAAAACTGAGTTAATTACATTTAACACATTATAATTTCCTTGTTTTTTAGGAGCATGTTCATGGACTTCAGCCGTCTGGAGCCACTTTATTGTATGATGCTTTAAATCGTGGATGCAAAGAACTTAACCAGATCAGACAGAGATTTCCAGATTGCCGATGTCGCATTTTATGCCTGACGGATGGAAATGATTGTGGGTGCGTTTTCAGGAACACATTTTACATTTCACATTTTAGCCTGTAGCCTTTACTTTTCGCAAACCTTGTGAGCGCGCCAACCCAAACGCTGTGACCTCGTGCCAAATGTTTTTATTGATTTCTAAATATATATAGAAGGCTAGCTGTGGTAGCGTTTAGTCCACTGTCTATAATAGCCTAATTTAGAGATTTTTTTTTACCGCCTACCGACAACTTTGATCGGTTAATGTTGATACGGTCAACCATCGGTCAAACGGTCATCGGTTAACATCCCTAATAGACACCCACTCTGAAGCGGTCATAGGCGATCCTAAAAGAGTCAAAAAGTCGAGACAGCCCCATCGTCAATTTCTGTGTCCACCACTCTAGTTCATCCAAAACAAACTAGAAAATAGACTCAAAGTGCTAAATACCATAATTATCCTTTAATAGTGCATCCCTCATTAGTTCATGTGTAGTTATTAATTATTGATGTATTCTAAAGTGTTACCAATCTTACTAAAGCCATATGGAGAATCTCATTTCATCGAAATCGAAACTCATGTGTGCGCTACTTATATAATTATTCTGTATGCAAAAAGCAACAGATTTAACTGAATAAGATGCATTTTGAAGAGCAAGATGTTAAAATAAATGTAACAAGTATGATATTTTAAATGACATCATGTTTGTACAAAATACAGATCGATGTGTATGCCGGTTGCCACTGCAAAAAGGTTGATGGATTCAAAAATCGTTGTTGATGCTGTGCTGATCGGTGCAGTGGATAACACCGAGTTACATGGGATCAGCAATGTTACAGGTATCTTTGGTTTAACTTGGCTTTTTTAATACAACTGCACTTAATATTGTTTTCATTGGCTGAATGTTTCGTTTTTGAGGTGGTTGCTGTTTTAAGCCTGAAACGAGCAAAGCAGCCTTGCAACTCTTCGAGATGGAGACGGTCTTGTCAATGGAGCTGAGGAAGGAAAAGAAATGCTTTGATGCATCATCAATTAACAAAGTGGTATAGTATTTTGGATAACTTATATTTCAGTCATAAAGATTATATTTTAGTCATATATTGTCATGTAGTTAAAAGCTAAAATGTGAGAAAAGAATGACAATAGACTGAAAACATGATGCAAAAAAGTACAAATTTAAGCTGTTTTTATTGCTGTATTTCATAGGATGACCTCAACATTTTTGGGACCTGTGGTTATGATATCAAACCAGAGGTTAAATTACCTCCACAGATACACAACAAAGTGACTCTGACAAAGAAGTAAGAGCTTTTGGATGTTTTGGAGAATTTTGCTTAATATGCAAGGACATTGATTTATCACAGAAATAAGTTCAAAATAAAAATTTTGAAAGAAATTGTTAAAGAAAAAGTCCATTCAACATAAAGGCACTAAACGTACTTTACTTGATTAAAAACGTTGATGTTTTGTCTGAATGTATTCTTTTTATTCAAAATTTAAGGCTGTTATTAATGTAATTTAGTGATTGATTTCTTTACACTGAGTCGAATAAACTTAATGGGATTGCGATGTTCATCATGGGTTGCAAATAATACTGAAAATGTAAGTGCCTCTCCATCTATGCAAAACTTATCGCAGTGCTTTGAAAAAGAGGATCGTGGAGTCCAAGACGGGCGTCTTTCTGGAGAAGGACAAGAGGATCTTGGAAGAGCTGAAGAATCTCCACTGTGACCCTCATCCGTTCTGCACAGTCCTGCCGTCTGAGGCAGATATGGGTATGAAAATTAATGTTCAATATTAATAATAATGAATTGACTTCTTATGGCTTGCATGGATTAAATGATAGAATAATAGTAATTATAAAAATAAGTAATGTGACTTCACATACACTGTAAAAATTAATACGAATGAATAAGCTATATCTAATCAATCAAATCGAGCCAACAGATTAAAAACAATATTATTAATTAAATTAAACAAATTTAAACAAGTTAACCATTTAAAATGAGTAAAATTTACTTCTTTTTTTTAAAACAAAAATATCTGAATAACAGACTAACGTCAAAGTAGTAAGTCTTTTATTTTTTTAGTGCCGACATTGAAGGTAACAAGCAGAATCACTGAAGGAGAAAAACATAATTTTAAGTCACCATTGTGGTGATCAGTGTCTGTTTTAGTTGTGCTCTTGACCCTTAAATCAATAGCTTTAGATTTAACTAAACTTTGACTGCTGTACGTGAGTTATAACAGACAAATCAAAGAAATGATCTGATTGTGTTGGTTGTGTTTTAACATAATCATTATTTCACAATCATTTGACCTGAATCACTGAACTCATATATAGGCCAAGTTTTGAGTTAGGTTTACTTATTAATTATAGCAGCTCTGTCCTTGTACAACATAATATTTTTAGCATTTTCAATTAAACTAAATGATCAAATCAGTAAAAATAAACTTAAATTATTTACTGTGGGCACACACAGACAAGAATTAACGTATGAATCTCAGCAATGGTGACAAACAGATCACCTCTGAACATAAGCTCATTATTAAATAATGCATGATTATTAATGCATGATGGGAGCCATGAAAGCCATGAAAGTTTTGTTTGGTGGCACCTAGAATGTTTTATAATTGTCACCATTGAGATTCACGCGTTGATTTTTGATGTCTGTGTGTCTGAAAACAAAATCAAAGCACTTTTTTTTGTATGTGAGATGTTAAAAAAATTATTTGGATTGCTTTGTAAAAGTTAAAAACATTATTGATTATAGCAGCGCGGTCCTTGTACAGCATAAAGTAAACCTAAATTGGGCTGTAAATGAGTTCAGTGATTCAGGTCAAATGATTGTGAAATAATGATTGTTTAAACGCAACCAACACCATCAGATCATCTCTTTTATTAATTCATCTGGCTGTTATAATTCATGTACGGCAGGAAAACTAAATCTAAAGTTAAAGATTTAAGGGCCAAGAGACCAACTAAAACAAATACTGATTACAATGGTGATACTGATTATAATAGTGACTTTTAAAAGAAAAAAATACGTTTTTCTTCTTCAGTGATTTTGCTTGTTAACGTCAGGTGTCTTCACAGTATCTAGACAGGCCACCAAATGCTTGTATTCATGTACCTTCAATATCAGCTAGTGTGCTGTTAAATAATACAGTTTTGTTGTTCAGCCTTCTGGAAGATCCTCATGAAAGGTCCACCTGATACCCCGTATGAAGACGGCGTCTTTGAGCTGTACTGTGAGTTTGGTCCTGAATACCCAGTGAAACCACCTCTCATGAGATTCGTCACCTCTGTATCCTTTTATTTACTACTGTCCTTACATGTGGTTCATCCATACAAGATCTGATGAACTAATAGATTGATTTTGAGTCTTCCAGCAGTTACAGATAGAGGACATAGACATTCACCCAGTTTAAACGCCCCAAAATGACAATTTTCAATGAAGCGTAACAATAAATAAACATAAATTACTTGCATTTTTCTCCACATTTCGTTTTTATTAGTCCCTTAACTACTTTTTTTTTACAAAGGTTTACCATTGCAATGTAAACAATGTGGGAAGAATCTGTCACAACATATTTGATCGAAATTACTCCGCCCACATTACCATGAGAGAGATCTTGGATGCGATATTCGGGCTCTTGATCGCTCCAGAACCGGAGGATCCTCTTGACAGGTAAACAGAACATTTTAGTCTTCAAGTTTTGAGATTTTGAGATTTTTCATAAAGTAGTCAAAAAGTCATAATTGAAACATTATGCTATGTTTTTAAAAGCATTTTGGCTGAAGAATTCCAGTCCAACAAACACAAATATGTGGAAGAAGCCAAGAAAAGTACAAAGATGTATGCCAGTTCCTCCTTGGATGACTTGGAAAAGGTAATTTCATTAAGTTTACAAACGCCTCCTTCTTACACTGCATACATTGTTGGTTTAACTTAAAGAGTAACTAAACCCTAAACCAACTTTTTATTTAATGATCTGTAAGAATGGATCTTTATTAATACCAGTCATTGATTCAAGTAACTTTTTTGACATTTGTGTATAAAGTGTTTTATTTCTACTAGAGCCAGACTGATATATCGGCAGAACGATATTATCGGCTGATATTAGGTATTTTCCAAACTATCGGTATTGGCAGTTATAATGGCCGATTAATGAATTATTTCAACAATAAAATTAAAATGGACGAAACACGCTTGAACCATGTCATGAGTGTTGGAGTTGTGTAGTTTGTCCACCTATACCGTTCCTGTTGGCAACACTCAATAAATACATTGCTTAAATAACAATTTAAAAAACATCCCCATCAGTTCTCTTAACTCAAATAAGAATGACAAAATTTGTGACTATCATGTCCAGCTTAAAATAAATAAATAAATAAAATATCGGCCGATATATCGGATTTTAAAACTCAAAAATATTTGTATCGTATCGGCCTTAAATCCTTCATCGGTCGGGCTCTAATTTCTACAATATATGGTGTGAAAACGTCTTAGTGCTGCCCTCTTCAGGTTGAACGGTGGCAACTGCAGTTGAATTTTCCTATTGGATGTTCCGCGCTTCTTGACGTACGCAGGTTTCATCTCACCACGCTTTTCGTACAAGCGGCAGTATAAAAACCAGCTTTGTTTCGTCAAAACCACTATAAGGAGTCAGGAGTTGGAATTGCGAGTATTGCCACTTTTTCAGCATTTTTCAAATATTTCCAGTGGGTGGAGTCAGGCTCTGATCAGGGCTTTAGTTACCCTTTAAAAAGGTAAGTTAACCTAGTTGCATTATTATTATTATTTTTTTTTAATTTTAGAGTTAATACAACAAAGGAGATTGGTTTAATGAATAAAAAACTCAAACTAATCTTGTGTAATCTGAACCATATTAATTATCTAAGTTGATTTGACAAAAGATACAATTTTGTAATAAATCATGAAAATATTATTTTGTTCTACTAATAGTGTAGTTCACTGTAACAAGAAATTGGTGTCTTAAATATCTAAGTTGGTTGTACTTAAAAAGGAAAGTAATTAAATTTAAATTACATTAGACTGATTTAAAAAAAAAAAACTTCATATTGCCTAAATTATTTTTATTTAGTTGTAAAAACAGATTGTTGTAACTTTTTGATCATATAATGTTTTACAGTAACTCATAATTAATTTAAAATCAGCAAACTGATATACAAAAACCAATGTGCTTGATTTTTACAATACTATCCAATACATTTTTTTATAAATAAAAAGTGAGTATATTCTAAATAATTTTCTTTCTATCTTTTCTAGAAATATGTAGGTCCGGAGTTGCAGAAAATGGTCACTCCTCCTACTTTAACGTGTCCTCTGTCACACAAGTTGTTTGTTGATCCAGTGAAAACTGCAGATGGGATGGTGTATGAGCGCAGCGCTATTGAGGATCACTTGAAGCTGTAAGTTATCCACAACTAAAATTATAAAGATAACATTATCTTTAAATATAAAGCAGATTATTCTGGAATATTTTTTTTTTTCTCCCAGGATTAAAATGGATGAATTTACTAGATATAATTTAGATATTTTCAGTTGGACAGATCTACATTAGAAAAATCTTATATCAAGTTCCTCTTTGGACTATTGTGTGGGAAAATGGCTGGTTTTATGAGACATTTTTGACTGTTATTATTATTTCAGGCATGGAAGTACTGATCCTCTGACTGAAGATGTGCTACAGATATCACACTTAAAGCCAGACCTGAACACAAAGAAGGCTGTGAAGGAATATCGCATGGCACAGATTAAGGAAACGCCTGTTTAGGGGTTATTATGATAATCTTGTGAATTATGAGAGCAGTTTGATTTGTTGTTTATTGCTGCTTTGGACCCTTTGTTCTCACGTTTTCTAAAGAGGGTGCTTACTTTATCTTAATATGTAAGATTTTACACTTTTTATTTCAGCAATATGTTGTTATAACATGTTGATTTTGGTTCGATGTTGGTTTGTGTGCTTTAATCTGTTCATGACTCGCTGTCAGTTGTCTGTCAGTAACAATTACTGAATTGCAAATCAATAAAAGTAATATTAAAACTATGTGGACGATTTTATATTTACAGAATCTGGTTTTCTATGTCAGTATCAGAATGTAGTTAATGCAATATACCTTAAATTACACACCCACAAAGAATAACTAAAAGGGTTAAGGCATAAATGTTGTGTGAGGATCTCATCATTATCATTATACTCCCAAAATGCTTGGTTGTTTCAACCCAAATTTTGGTCAAATATGGACAAACCCAACTGTTGGGTTAAAACAAAATATCCCAATTGCTAGGTTTGTCCATATGTGACCCAAATTTGTGTTGAACCAACCCAGCATTTTTAAAGCCGTTATTAACCATTAACATTTCATCCTTAAAACTAGTATCTATTTTCATGCTACTAGTGGTTAGTATTTATTCTTTACTAGTGCCTTTTTAAAGATATTAATAGCCTACTTACTCATTAGATACTACTTCTTATTCCAATAGTTTCTATTATTTAATTAAATGTGTTAAGAAAAATGAGAACTAGTAAGCCTACTTATTTTTTTAGTTGCTAGGTACTTTTTAGACCAAAGATATCCTGAACTGAATATGTACTAGTGCTTTTTAAATGTACATTTCTGCCTAGTATATTCAGTATAATATATATATATATATATATATATATATATATATATATATATATATATATTCCTTCCAGGCCTTTCAAAAATCTTGCTTCCAACGCCCCCCATTGTTCTCTGAATGCCCCCGTTGAGAACGACTAGTATAGATCAAGACTAACTGTTCGCCACAGCCCCACTGGGACTATCAAGCTATAACCACCATAAAGTTTAGTATGGGGACTGGGAGGCGACATGTTCAGTTCACTTAGTTGAGTTGTGAGAATTTTATCGAGGTATGGTCATTGCTATGCCTGGTCATGCGATGTAAAGTCCTCGAGATCCTTCATGTTTTGAATCAGTTGCACAATTTCACCATTAGATGTCAGTAAATCTGCATTGCACTGAATCTCTCACATACATCAGAACAAGTAGAGGTTGTTGAGGAGGACAGACACACAAGCTATGTTATTACTGAGGAGGAACTGTCAAAAATACTGTATACTGTTACAAAATATTCAATATTTAGGAGTGAAACTGTTCTCATTAAGACTGAATCAAGATAAATGCTAATTTACAACAAAAAATACAAGTGATTGATGGTTTATTTAACATTTAAACATAATGGTCATGCTTGATTCTCTGGCAATAAACCACATTTTTCTTTCCATTTGAAAGCTGCGCCACATCTGATTTTTTGCTTTAAATTAACAAAATTCAACTGAGTAAAAAAAAAAAAAAGTCCTCAAATTCTTCTTGCCTGATCTTGATTCACTATGGTCTAAAAATTAATTTTAGAGCTGTCAAATATTGCAGGAAATTCCATGTCGTTCTTCCTGTTCAGCTTTTCCTGTTCTGCAGTTATTCAATAATAAAATGACCTTTTCCCGATCTGCTTTCTGTCTATCTTGGAAGATAATAGACAAAGAGAGCCCTGAAGTCTTTTTTTTATGAAAGTTTTTTTTTATTATTATTATTATTTAATGAAAATGCATATAATTTATATTTACATCACTGTATTCGGTTTTATTTTTCCCAGAAAAACAAACAAACAATATTTAGATCAGGTTTTTCAAAATTGCAATTAAAATTTCAATTAAATCCAGTTTAAAGTATTTATTGGCGTGGTTGTGTTTACATACAATATTGCCAAAGCTTTATCACACAAAACAAATAATGACAAGAAAAAGAAACGCGCAGTAAAACCATAACAAACATTAACAAATAAAGATTTGAATAAAATGCCAGCAATTATTAAAATAAGGTAATATAATAATATTCAACATATGTAATTTATTATGTAACATTGACATATCAGTACATTACAGAGAACATTTATTGTAATTCGTCTGTTTGTCACAGTAAAGAAGAAAGTGTGTCGCTGACTTGCAAAACAATTACAGAATCAGTGCAAACAGATGTCGAGTAAAGAACAAAATGAACAAAAATATGAACAAATATCTAACTGCTCATCAAAACACATTAAACTCATTAAAAGCTGTTTACTCGCATAAAATATTTTTTAACATCTACACAGTATTATTATGTCTTTCGAATAACAGTTATCAGAATGATACAACAATTTGAATAATTATGTAGTAACTAAAAAAATTAAAAACAAATCAAAAAGGTTCTTCAAAGCCACCCTTTGGCTAACATTTGCATAACTGCATAATTATAAAAAATTGCATAATTATACAGTATGTTTGTCTACAAAACATTGAATGGTGCATCTGTAGGGTTTATAAAGTAGAAGTAGAGAAAAAGTAGAAGTCCTGTCATTTCCAGCCATGAACTGATTGACAGTTGATTAGGGCTGATTTCTGTCTCCTGACTGAAAAGCCAAGAGTAAAGAAATAATCCAGAACTGGAGCCACAAAATCTGTGTATATTAAATATGAAGTCATCTCAGCCTTAATAAGCCTGTTAACAAACAATCACTGAAGGAAAGAAGAGAATGGAAAAAGAGACGAGCAGAACAACTACAACTGACTTTAGACACAGTCTTACATGAAATCACCTGAAGAGAAAATATTGTCTAACATATATTATAACAGAAATAAAGTCAGACTGGTTAGTAATAAGTGAAGCTGGTAATTCTGTTTGTGGAGTTGTTTAATCCTCCTCTGCTGAGATTTAATGTTATATAAGTAAAGCTGTTGACTGTGAGCTCACCATGTGAGACCACTGTGATGTCACTAGTAGAATGTCGCCCCAGTGACTGATATTTGGGCCGTATTTACTGAACACATGTCAGATATAGACATCAATATTCTGCCCTACAAAGCAAAAAGGCAGTAACTACGCAGAGTGCAGAACTGAGAAAAATGACTTTTGCTAGGGCTTTTTGCAGTTACTGTACAAACGACTACCACTTTTCTCTAAAACGACACGCATTTAAGATAAAACTGCAGTTACTGCCTTTTTGCTTTGTAGGGCAGTATTGTCATTAAGTATTTGGTGTGCTTATTCTGACATTTATCGCAGCTGTAGTTAACTCTCCATTTTTACCTTCTCCCTCCCATTTCACTGTCTTTATACTGTCAGTCTCTCCATTTCTGCATGTTTCTGCTGTGAACTTCAGCCCAGATAATTCCTCAATACGTTCACGTTGTACCCAGAAAAAATTGTACAGAATCAGTCTGTTGTCAGTTTTATTGTCGTCCTTTAATCTGTCAAGTTCTGCTAAATATTTTTTGTCATTGGGAATCAGATAGCATTCTGGCTTTTCTACTGTCCCATCATCCTTTTCAACAATTATCACCTTAAAGAACTGAGTTGGCACTTTTTTCACATTCTTTTTTTTTTTTTTTTGAGGCATTGTTATATATTTTTTTGATATCTTTTTTGATGCAAGAATTGATGCATTTCTTGGTGCATTTTTTGATATCTTTTTTGATTTAGTTTTTGATATCTTTTTTGGTGCATTTTTTGATTTCTTTTGTTGAAGGCTGTGTCTTTCTTTGGTGCGATTTCTTTCACTCTGACTCTTTGAACCATCCTCTGTTAGTACAGTGCACACTGCTCCAGTGTACACGTGAACATTGTTTTTTGTCTTTGTTCTTTCTCGACACATTTCCTCCAGGGTCTTCCAGAGACCCATGTTTAATATCTCTAACTGTGGTGAAATATTGCTGAAACAAAACGTGCTATTGTAGGCTTCCTGGCACCATCTGTGATTGGCAGCGGCAGCAAGATGACCTTGTTGAAAATCTTGTTGATGACCTTGTTGATCAATCTGCATGAATGCGTTTAAGCTTAGGCCTATGCTATTTCCAGTTAAAGTACTCCCGTTCAGTATCTCATACACCCATTCAGCATTCTTGGTGCCTTTGTTGTATGACATGACATAATGTGTTTTCCTCCTTATTTCAGTATTAGGCCTATTTGAAGGATATCCCTCAATAAATTTATAGTCAGATTTAACATGAGCTGCTTGTTTCAATTCACCGTCAGACAGATCAGAGAGTGGGATCTTTATGTAGACGGTTCCAGAATTCGATTCCTCTGAACGTATTTCCCCTGTTCCATCGTCTTTTTGAAGCTTCTCTTTTGAAGGATTTTCAGACACTTCATCAGTTTCATTGAAAGTTGAATGCTGAGCTCCTGATTCTGCACCTATAATTTCTATTTGATTGTGTTCAGATGAACGAGTTGGAGATTTTTGCGCAGCCCCTCCTGCACACGTATTATGCAAATGAGCCATCATCTGCAGCATTATCACATATGCCCAGTGTTTTTTATCAGATTTATTAGTTATCTTGTTTGCTCCGTCCCAAGCCTGTTTGATTTTTTCAATTTTCCAGAATTTAAGGTTCTTTTCAATGGCACATTTAATTTCAATCTTTTCTTTTGCATCATGCAAGCACTGAAACCCTTTAAAATAATCTAACAAACCCATAACTATATGTGAAGTGTCATCTATTTCCCCTTTTGTTGTTTCCATTTTGTTGTAACACAGTGACTAAGGAACAAATCAGACTTGACTCAATCCGGTTTTGTCACTTCTTCAAGGGCTTGAACCAAAAATTTTCTCTTTAGGTCTGGCTAAAATAGTCTATGCTTCTGAAAACAAAAACAAACAAACCAACAAAACCTTAATGGTCAAAATTCTGCTTATTGTAGAGTTATGTTTGGTCAGAAAAGACAGAAAAATATACATACTTACATCACAAGATGTGAACTTCTGCTGTTCTGTTTTACGCCAGATCTGTTCTGTTCTGCACACAGAATGAATGAATATTAAACACCTATAAATTCAAAGTTTGCCCAGGATGAGATCAGAGAATCATACATGTTCAACAGTCAAAAACACCTGATCAACTTCTGACTTTTTAGTTTTTGTTTTATAAACTCACAGCAACATGCAGCAGCCAGAGAGAAACTAATGTTGTAAAGTCAAGGGTCAAGAGACCAACTAAAGCAAATACTGATCTCCATCACTATAATCTTCACAGTTTATTCCTGTAGGCTATTTTCTTGAAAATGAAAAATATAACACAGAAAGCATTGTTTTCTAATGTATATATTACAGTATAATGGAAAATGGTATGATAGTGTCAGAATTTGACCAGAATTTTTTTTAACAGTGCAGTCAAAATGAAAGATAACGCAGCCTCTATTGTTATTGATTTGTAAGTTTGGGCCACAAAAGCGTACGTGCGTAGTAATGTTTGTTTATATTGTTGCCGTCAGAGGTGTATAGTTGAAGAAGTAGACAGAAGTGGAAAGTCCAGGGGTCAGAAAGTAAAAGTCCTGCCATATTTTTATTCCACCCACAGCAAAAACTCCAGAGTTAAATGAACTTTACTGGGAGTTTATTTGGATCCAGACTCAAGAGTGTTAAAGTTAATGAGATAATTAAGTGAATAAATGTTCATTCACTGATCTCATTCAGACTTTAATTCTGTATTAAAAGTGTTACATTACCACCACTGTGTAACTACAACAATGAATAACAATGACAAACAATTTTAACACTTCATGCACAACCAAAGAAACAGAATTATACTGTCTTGCAGAAACACAGATACTCAAGAGTGTTAAAGTTAATGAGATAATTAAGTGATTAATTTAGTGATGATTGAGCATTATTGAAGACACCTAAAGCAGAATCACTGAAGGAGAATCAGTGTTTGCTTTAGTTGGGCTCTTGACCCTTATATTATTAACTCTAGATTTTGTTTGGCTTTTGTTTATGAGTTATAACTGCCAGATGAACAAAGAAAAAAAATATGATCTATTACTATGGGAGCGTGGGGCACAACCTAACGCGGGGCTAAATGTAACACGGACCTTTTACATAGTTACTCAGGGTCACGCAGGTTGTGTTTCCGCTCTTTTTCTCTCGCTGCCAGAAAACGGTCTCCCGTGGATTTGCGGAAAGTTTTGATTATATTTCGTGAAGATACTGGACAAAGAGTGGTTTGACACCAAGTAAATTTTTCATCATAGATTTTTTTTCGGTTTCTGAGTTGGGTGTATACGTTTCCAAATCTAACTTTATATTGCCTTAATCACTGTCTTGTTGGCTCAAACATAGCACCGTTTTGAAACGTGTCAGCAATTCCTAGCGACTGTTAGCTAGGTTTAAAATATGTAATACACAGCGGGGTTAGTTCTAACACAGTGTTACAAACAAGACGCCAAGTGTACAATGATAATCAAATGAAAACGGAGCCACAAAACTTTTCAGGTTTGAGTACATTTAACTTTGTTAGACTTTCACAAACAATGTTGGGATTTAAAATGTTTAAAATTGAGTGTACTATGAATTATAACTTGTTTATTTATTAAAAATATGGCCTGTTATTAATGCAATAAACCCTTTAAATTTTTTATTTTAAGCTCATTTGTATTATTATTACTGCTATTATTATTAATAATAATAATTGTACATGCAGCTGCCACACACAAATCTAATTCAATTGCAATTACAATATTTATAATTTTATTTATTATTATTTATTGCAAAACTGTGCAGCTCTTTTCTGTCTCTTTCCAAGATATTGATCCATAACAGAAGGATGATTGGATGAGGGATGCACAAACAATATCAAACTATACAAATAAAATAGTACTAAATAATGTGACTAAATAAACTAACCCCTCTGTCTGTTACAATTAACCCTGCATATGGGGTAAGTTGTAACATTTGCACTTCTGTCACTTTCAGTCCAACTGTATGAAAATGGCAGGTCCTGAAAAAAAAATTAAGTGTTCATTTGTAGCAGAGATGTGTATGTTGCTTTGTGTAAAAAATATTAATCTTACCTAATTATTTTTTAATTAATTGAGCCAAAACCTAAATGTGTTAGGTTGTGCCCCGCTCTCCCCTATTATAACTCAATTATAGCAGCCAAACTAAATCTAACATTAATAGTTAAGGATCAAGGGCCCAACTAAAGAAAATACCGATCACCATAATGGTGACTAAAATGTGATTTTTCTCCTTCGTTGATTCTGCTTTTTAACATCAGGTGTCTTCAATAATGTTTAATCATAACTCAATCAATCACTTAATTAGCTCATTGACTTTAACACTATTGAGCCAAATGAACTCCTAGGAAAGTTAATTTAACACTGGAGTTTTTGCTGTGTGAGTTCATGGGTGGAATAAAAATATGGCAGGACTTTTACTTTCTGACCCCTGGACTTTCCACCTCTGATTAAATGATGCTTCATCATTCATACCTCTAGGAGATAAGGTCTGAAGAGTGAAAATCCAAAAAAGTCCACTTTTTAACAGGAGCAATTCAATGATGGCCCCTCTAGGTGGCACATTCACCTTTTCAATCCTACAAAAGCATAAAGTGGAAACATCGTGATTACAGGCTGAAAAATGAACTGCAACTGGATAATTTTCATCTTTTCTTCTGATGGAGCTCTTATGTTCACTAATTCTTTGTTTTAATTGCCGTGATGTTTTCCCCACATAACCTAACTCACATGGATGAAATAAATAATATAATTAAGTAGAAAACACAAGTAGGCCTAATCACAGAATTGATAGTATATTTTTTGCCAGATCTTGGATGACAGAAAAAAGAAGTTTTAAATGTATTGTTACACTGAGCACAATTACCACAACGAATTACCATTCTGTATTGGACTAAGCAAAATTTGAGATGGACGAGGAGGAAGAGATGGGAGTAAGTCACAGATGTTCAAGACTTGAACATCTGTGACTTACTCCAATCTCTGCGAGGAGGACTAACACTTTGAAAATCAGTAAGGTACAGTAGCATGTGTCATGATCTTTTAGATTTTTAGCGCGTTAAACAATCAAAGGAGGATGTTGAAAAATTTGTCTAAATTCCAGATCAGAAGACAACAGGTGCCAGTTAATGTTTTTTTAAAAAAAATTGATTTTATCGTGTAAGAATTAGGTGAATGGGTTGTAATACACTTTATTGCTTTTTTTGTCCTCATTTTTAAGACAAAGGGAACCTCTATTCAAAAATCTATTTTCATAATGTTCGATTTCTCATTAAAATCGGAATCAGAATAACAAATCCTCCGCAATAGAACTGCGCAATTTTTACATTTTAATATAAAAAAATACACTTTCATATTTCAATTATTTTAAATTTAACTGGGTTTTTTTAATAACCAATAAATAAGTAAATCAAATTCAGGCTTAAAAAGAGTTTTTGTGTTCAGGAGGTGGAGCATAATAGAGTACTATACACCTTCTTTACATCATTTCTGGTGAAAGTGCCGTATGTTGTTTTGACAAGTCAGTGCATGAACATTTTTTCGTTAAAAAATTTGTTTACATTTGTATTTATTTTTTAGTTTTATATTTTTACATCTGATTTTGGAAACCAAAACCATGTAACAAGCATTAAATATGAACTGCCTTTGTAGTACAGAATACATGTTTAAGATCTTAAATAATATTCAATGAGAAACTGTTAAGTTATACACTCAAAAAAATAACTCTTTGAATGAACATAAAAAAAAAATTATGGAAAGGTTTTCCACATGATTATTTTGCTTTATTTCAGCATTATGCTATTCTGTTATTCCAATTTAATGTACTTACGTAGGGTCAACTTAATGTATTAAGGTTGATTCAACTTATTTACTTTGGTTGGGCACAGCTTAATTTACTATTGTCAGTGAATTTAAAAAGGCTCCCTGATGTGATTCATGTATTTAAATTCATATTATTAATTCATTCATTACAACAAAATTTATTTTAGAATCACCCTAATATATTTCTAGACTTTAAGTATTAGTAACCAATAGCACTTTTTAGCATCTTAAATTATAAGATTCACATGCTTCATCAATCAATGCATTTGCTGATGATATTGCTGATTTTCCACCCTAACCAAATGCTCCACTCTTCTCCACAATGGTAACCCACTGTAATTTAATTGCAATGTAATTGAACTTTAAACACAATTACACACTATAAAATCTTCCCCTTTTCTAATTTTCTCAAAAACACATAAAATAACACTTAATTTAGACATTTATTCTCTCTTAATTCAGCCATGTGTTACAAGCACAGCCCACCAACAAGCACAGCCCAGTTTCAGTTAATGCAACACAAATCATTCATGTAATCCAACATAAACGGATTAAGTAAACTGAATTAGAGTCCTTACCTTGTCCGTTCTCTAGAAACACAGAAATCCAGACAAGGTTCATTGAAATCTGCTGAATCTTCATACACTGAGAAATATCACTGGATTCTGTGTTGTCGTCACAGTTCAGCTCAGAGAATTATTCAGGTCTGATGAGGAGTGTTTCGGTTGAGTAACCTTTAAACATTGTCAAGTTTAGGGCGTCACCATCAGATTGAGCTCCTCCTCCAGCTATTTAAGCAAACTGAGATGTCAGATACATTTTAGATCTATGTAGTTTTTGTGGGAGTGTATAGCTTCCACAAACTATTTAAATAAGATGTTGAACAAATTGATGTATGATTTGAATATTACAATAAGATGATACTATATTGTTATGTTTCATGTTCACACCCATTTCTTTTAGACATAATCATTGCATTGTGTTCTTTCATTGTCATGGACTTTTAAATGGTTTTCAATTTCATAATATGTTCAGTTTTCCCGCTCCTCATCATTATCAGTCATATGCGTCAGCTATTAAACATACACCTTCCCAGCTAACATAATTTTGTTATAAGAACGTTATCTAAATATTCAGTGTTGGTTCTGGGAACGTGAAAAATGTCCAGTTTTCTTGACGTTATGGAAATGTCTTTTAAAAGGTGTAATGTTTCTCAAAAGTTCATTAAATGTAATTTTTGATTAAAAATTCAACATGATAGTAATGTTGATTTCAAACATTCCAAGAACATGTCCAGTTTCCTGAATGTTACTACACAACAAAAACTCAAGAGTGTTAAAGACTCTAGAGTGTGAAAGGTGCCATATGTAATAATTGAGGTAAGAATATCCAAAAAATGAGCTACGCGCATCAAAAGAATGAGAAGAAATAAGTGCAATGATGTAATTAAAAACCTGACAAGTTATAGTGCTGCCGAGATATTAACCTGAATTAGCATGCTAAATTACTAGCCCCGGCCCGGCGGGTTTCGTAATACCAGTTTCGGCCATGGGAGGCGGTATGCGGGCGGGCAACGTTACCACCAGCCAAACTGCAATAGACGAGTAACTCGCGCGGCTTGTGTGTGTGTGTACTTGAACCTGATGTCAGTCGTGTGGAAATACAGCCCACTACTACATTTCAGTTCAGGGAAGAGTTAAATAAATGATTGGTCGATATTATGCATGAGGAATACATTTTGGTAAGTTGTAGCATACTGTATCTTTCAACAGAGTTCGTGTTCTTTTTCCATTAGCTAGTAGAGATGATCGGTTCACGTGCGCTAGGGATCTGTGGTGTAACATGTACAAGCGCCAAAACGGTATTTATTCTTTGAATTGCTTAATAAAATTAACAGAATCTGAGAGCTTAACTAACCTGCTTGCTAAGTGTTAATTGCATGTGTCTCACGGTGAATTCGTGAGAGTTGGCAGCTCTGAATGGCGTTAACATCAGCGAATGCTGTCTGTCAAATTAATTCAAAATAACAATAAAAGTGTAATATGAACAAAACGAATACTGTAAACTTAAAATAATAGCCCGCAGGCTTTTATTTTCCCATATCGTCGAAATCCACCAGCTTGTTTTTGAGACAGGCGTCTATGAGGCGGTCTTCATTATTTAGTGTTGAGATGTTGCTCATTGAGTCTCTGATCTCTAAAAATCTCCAAATGCTCCACGTGAAACTGCGGTCTTCCGACCTTTTACTATCGTGTCAAAAGATTTGAATAATATGCAGAGAAAGAGAGCAAAACAGCGCTCGCTTGTGTTGTTTGAAGACGTGCGCGCGTCCGCGGCACATTTTCTGGAAGTATACTGCCCCCATCTGTTATGGAAGATGGAATATTTTTGGATTTTTAGTTCCAGATGGCACCTTTAAAGTGTTAAAATTTGGGTGTTAAATACTAAAGCATTGTTAAAGTTAATGTACTAATTAAGTTATTGATTGTGTGATGATTGATGATTGAGTTCAGTGATTCAGGTCAAATGATTGTGAATTATAATTGTTAGAACACAACCATCACTTTTTCTCTTTGTTTATCTGGCGGTCATAACTTATATACGGCAGCCAAACAAAATCCAAAGTTAGACATGTAAAGGTCAACTGCCCAACTAAAGCAAACACTGATCTCCATAATGGTGATTAGAATTTGAGTTTTCTCCTTCAGTGATTCTGCTTGTTATCATCAGGTGTCTTCAATAATGCTCAATCATCACTCAATCAATAACTTAAATAGCACATTAACTTTAACACTCAAGTGTTTAACACAAATTTTAACACTTTAACACTCTTGAGTCTTTAACACTCTTGAGTTTTTGCTGTTAGGGCTGCACGACATATCGCACGATATTGTTATGTGCATCTCGTCAGGAAAGCCGGTTCCTTGATTAGTAGTAAATCACCTTAACCTGCTTTCAGATGGAGCGGCATTTACTACAAAGAGCCGTAGATCACAGACAAGCTGAGCCATATCGCATTAATATCGAGGACATATCGCCAGCGATAATTAATGCTCAGCTTGCTAGTTAACTACGGCTCTTCTAATACGGCAATTCTAATTTGTCAAATTTAATTAATAATATTGTTTGTAATCTGTTGCCTCAATTTTATTGATTAGCTTTAACATATTCAGTCGTATTCATTTTTACAGTGTGGTTAAATATTTGTTATTTAATACGTTGTTTAAATTGTTTTAAACAGTGTTAAATGAACTTTACTGTGAGTTTATTTGGATCCAGACTCAAGAGTGTTAAAGTTAATGAGATAATTAAGTGAATAAATGTTCATTCACTGATCTCATTCAGACTTTAATTCTGTATTAAAAGTGTTACATTACCACCACTGTGTAACTACAACAATGAATAACAATGACAAACAATTTTAACACTTCATGCACAACCAAAGAAACAGAATTATACTGGCTTGCAGAAACACAGATACTCAAGAGTGTTAAAGTTAATGAGATAATTAAGTGATTAATTTAGTGATGATTGAGCATTATTGAAGACACCTAAAGCAGAATCACTGAAGGAGAAAACTGGAATTTCAGGTCACCGTTATGGAGATCAGTGTTTGCTTTAGTTGGGCTCTTGACCCTTATATTCTTAACTCTAGATTTAGTTTGGCTTTTGTTTTTTAACCACACTTATTTTTACAGTGTGGTTAAATATTTGTTATTTAATACGTTGTTTAAATTGTTTATGAACGTGAATATGTCACATGTGTACAAAGAGAATCGCAATACTGTCAATACCTTTTTTTAAATAAAAGTTGCTGATAACTTCTTGATTTGAAATGCAAACAGTGAGTAAATGTAAATGTGTTTGTGGCAAGCTGCAGATCAGTTGCACATGCAAAGGCATCATGTGAAAGCACTATAGCGTGAGCAGGTACTGCACCGCAAACACGCATGTATGTGAAACAGGCACACGTCAGTCACACTTACACCACAGGATTGTGCCATGACTTTGTGTTCTTGTGCAAGTTAAGACCAAAACCATTGAAACAGAATGCATGAGTTTGGGTTAAAAACAGCCAAAGAAAAACAAACAAACAAGTATCTTTATATAACTATGTTCATCATCAGCATCTTTGAAAGTACATCAGAAAGAACTTCTCACTGAGGTCAAGGTGCCTGAAATTGCTCATTATAGATCTTTATCACACGCTTCAATGGTAGCAAATATATTTGCAGAACATGTCTGTGTAGAAATGTGTGGAAAGCGTGGGTAGATTCACCAACATCAGATAGATTCATCATTAAAACAAAATTAAAACCAATTCATTGACAAAAACATCAGTTGTGAAGTTTTGTGTACACAAGTTTTGCACTGTACAAAAAAGAAGAGAGAGAGAAAAAAAGACATTTTTACTTTTAGGCATGTCATGTGATTTCACAGAATACATGCATTGTTTTTGTGTGTCTATATAAAGGCATGCAGAGAAGGTTCACTTCCTATTGAGAACTCAGGAAATGGAATTTACATAGACAGAGTTAGGTGTTCTTCAGTAAAAAAATAATTTTTATTTGCAAATGTATTAACAAAGATCTAACTGAATAAATGCAGATGGGACTGTGGACTCATAATGTGTCATAACAGTCATATTAAACATGTAATGCCTGGCTCACAGTACAGGAGTTTTAGCTCGATTTATGCCCGATTTCCCCTCACGGGAATCGGAGGAAAAATCTTGTTGATTACCTCGATCGGTTCCGATGTTCGGCGCAGATTATCTGGTAATGTGAGGCGTTCACAGATCGAATATTGCACCTCCCGATCTGCTCTCACAAAAATCGGGCTCGCTCCGATCATATCAAACATGTTTGATATTTATCGGGATGAGTAAGATTGTGATTAACCCAGTACTGTCTAGCCATAATAAACAGGCTGTCGTGGTGAAGGAATTTCCACTGTTGTAATTTTGAGTGACTCAACAGCGCGATATGCAGTATTATCTTCATTTATTTATTTATTGCCCAATAAGTGTTGTGCTGTGGTCAGCAGGCACGAAGACGAGTAGCTATAGGCTATGTCCAGTAATAAAAACCATAAACCTGACAATATGCTTTTTATGCCATTATATTATAACAGTTAGTTTTGATCCTCGAATCTCACTTTACTAAAGGCTTTCTGTTGATATTTTACCACTCGGCATTGCTTGTCTCTGCGTGTAGACCCTATCCTCTGTAGACAGGCTGTCGCTCAGTCCAGTTACATTGTTGCGCCACTAGGTGGCGACAAGGCACTGTCTTTGAGTGAGTCATTAAAGGGTTAGTTCACCCAAAAATGAAAATTAAGTCATTAATTACTCACCCCCATGCTGTACCAACCCCGTATGACCTTCGTTCGTCTTCGAAACACAAATAAAGATATTTTTTATTGAATCTGAGAGCTGGATGACTCCTCCATAGACTGCCTAAGGGACTGGCTCTTGACGGCCCAGAAAGTCATTAAAGAAAAGGTTTAAATATTCCATGTGCCTACAGCGGCTCAATTATAAGTTTATCAAGCGACGAGACTACTTTTTGTGCGAAAAAAACATAAATAACGACTTAATTCGACTATTCTATTACTTCCTTATGGGCGCATGCGCGAGAACTGAGACGAGGACGTTCTTCTCCTTCGACTACTTTTTGTTACCGGCTATATATTATTAGGAGGTATAATCCTAATAATGTGTATTTTAGATATTTTAATAACACGATAATTCCATTTGTGTGTTTCAAAGACTATAATATTTTTAAATAATAAAATTTCCCTGTAATTAATAATAATTAATAATAATAATTAATAATCCCTGTAATTAACATTAATAATAATTAATTTAATTCCCTTTAATTAAAAAAACAGGAAACCATAAATTGCTAAATAATGTAAACATACCCTCCAAGGATTTGAATTATGTATATGTATGTACTTAGTTTTACATAAGAAAGTTATATAAACTTGAATAGAATTTACATTTAAATGTATTTCCTGCACTGCAAAAAAATGAATACGCTGTATCTAGTCAATAAAATTGTTTACATTGTTTACAACAGATTACATGCAATATTGTTAATTAATGTAAAAATATTAAGCTGTTGTAATTGATAAAGTAAACCAAACTCAGAAATTGGGCTCTAGATGAGTTTAGTGATTCAGGTCAAATGATTGTGAAATAAGGATTATGTTAAAACCATCACCATCAGATCACCTTTTCTATTTGAGAGTAAAGGATGACAGAATTTTCATTACGTGCTGAACTACATGTAGTTTGACAGAAAATGAACCGAGATGTAGTTAAAAAAAAAACCTTCTCTTTTAAATCCTTGCTTATCTGGCTTAAGCTACCCCAAGCAATGTCTGAACTTTGTGTTTTGAGCACTTAAGTTGTTTTTGCCTCTTCATGATGACTCGCTTGGTTTAGTCCTCAGTTGTAAGTCGCTTTGGGTAAAACTATCAGCTAAATGACTAAATGTAAATGTATTAACGGCTCTCAGAGTGTGTGTTTCAAATTCTTCATGAAGAGTTTGGCTCCAGGACTCCTGCCTGGAACTGTACATTGACCCTGATGACTTTGATTATTTGACTAAGGTGTGTGTTGCCCTCAAACCGTATTCACTTTATAGCCCTAATCCTGTAATTGTGGACAAATGTGGGCACAGAGGACTCGGGTGTGATCCTAATTTTCATTATAAATGTTATGTCACTGTTTTCGATAAAGTTTTGTCTATCCATTTATGGAGTTTTTTATTTTTTGTTTTGGGGGTATTTTTGAATTTATTTACTTCAAAAAGTACTATATTTACTATGTAAATTGTGCTTATTTTTGTGTTTTAATTTTTTAACTACATTAAAATATCATTCCAATAAGTTCTTACAGCTTAAACCTAAAGATGAAGTGACTTTGCCATCACCTGGTGTCTTATTTTGGCTTATTTTAGAATGCTCAAATTACAGTTTTTTCCCCATTCATTTCTGTGGGTGACAAATAAGAAACAGAATGAAGAAACGCCAGTAATTGCAATAAAAGAGACAAACACTTGCTATTAAAGGTGCAATACCTAAGATTTTTGCATTAAAATATACCAAAATCACAAGGCCAGTGTTATATATTTAGTTATGATGATAACTCACAATATTCCAAATGTTTCAAACAATGTTTAAATCGCGAGAAAATTGAGATTTTAACCAAGGAAACGGGGCGTATGAGCAGGGGTGAGCTGGGAGTCGCCAGTCAATCGCATCATATCCGCTTACCTCGGTTTCCGCTCGTACTACGTGTAGTCCTGGACAAATGCAGTAGTTGTTTTTGCGTTAGCGTCTATCAAGGAACAAACGACAGCTTGTTTCGCGCATTTGTTATGGAATGGAGCACAATTATTCTTTTCATTTATTCTCGGAATGTGAACTATTGGCTGTAAAGGGGGTCGCACACCGGACGAGAAGTGTCGCGCCACGTTTAGGACAACTCCACAGTAACGTTATCGAACACCGGACGCGCACTTTCTCATCAGTGTATGGCCAGCAATATTGTTATGTTTAATGACAGGAAATGAAGATAATGTCTGTTCTATGTTATGATTGTACTGTACAATTAAATACAATCGTTGCTGAGTCTGCAGTCTGAAAACTTTACCTCAGAGCATCCGTTCACTGAATGAATTGAATCACCTGAAAAATCTAATAATAACATCAGCAATTGTCATTCAAGCAGCTGATTTCTGTAAATGACTGCAAAACTAAATGTATATTGCAGAATAGGGCGAAGTCAGGATCCATTAGCAACGATTTGAGACAAAAATAATTAAAATTTTATACAAAACTATGTAAATGGCGCTCTGTGGCGCAGCAGGATTTTGAACACGGTCCTGAGGCGTTGCTGGGCGCCGCGGACAGACACCGAATGGCGCCGCCGGTATGTGTACACTTATAGATAATAATGTGTTCGAATTTGAAATATGTGGTGCGAAGCGGCGCTGAGCTTCTCGTCCGGTGTGCGACCCCCGTAACGTTAATTTTGTGAAACTGTAAAAGTAGTGGTTAAATACTTACACGACATGAAAAGATGTGTCAAATGTACATGATTTTTTTATTTTTATAAAGTTACCAAAAAGGAGGGCCACGTCAACTCCTTGCAAGAGACCTGCCCCTTCAAACCCTCTCCACCATAGCTTCGTTTAGTGACTCGTACAGTAACTAATTTACTTTTAAACCTGACTTTTCTTGCGGTTATTTCAGTTTAATGAAAAACAAGCATGTCATTAAACGCAACGTTTATAGAAATCGAACTTTACCTCATCCATGACAACTAATTTTCGATTCCCGTCTGACTGATTTATCCACGCTGGAGTTGAAAACAACAGTTCCCATCATTCCGCGTTCCTCCACGTCGTCATCAAGCAAAGCCATTGTTGTTGTTTTGAATGTAGCGCCCTCTAGCGGCATCTAAATCGTAGGTATTGTGGCTTTAAAACAAAGATATTTTTTGAGACGCTCTTAAATCATGTAAAAAAAATTATTATAGTTTTCACTGAAATATTTCTGAAATTGTTTGGAGTTGGTCATATAATTATAATTTAGAAGAATTACAGTGTCTCAGACAGTTGGTGATAAAATATAAACATTTGGATAAAAGTGTCTGACGAATGTATATGTGTAAGTGTGAATTTTTTTTTTTTTTTTTTTTTCATTTTTTTTTTATTGTTTTCTCCTAAAATGTGTGTGTGTGTTTACATACGATAAATATACCATTAAGCATATTATTCATATCAGTGTAAAAGAAGGAAAGCAAGGAGTATGTTCTGAAAATCATCCAGTGGAATTTGCAGCAACACAAACTCATTATGAATGATGAATATGTTCGTAATTTAATGCATAATAAAATGTGACAATTATATATTACACGTATATAGCATTAAAATGCATTGCATATGCTGCAGGATTGGGTCGTTTGGGGACTTTTGTTTTGACAGTGCGCCAAAACTAAAGTGAGGAATTAAAGTGAGGAATCTGTGCTGAACAGCGGAGCTAGCAGTGCTTTTTGAAATAAATATTATTAATAAAATATTAGAGACATGATGACTGTAAAAGACGAAAGAAACTCAATCCAGACTTACAGGTGTAACGTTTACTGACTATTGACAGGTAAGATCCTCAGAGAGTCAATCCAACACCAGAAGAATGGAAAGAGTGTGTCAGTGAAGGTGGTTGTGAATGTGTGTAGATGTGTGTTAGTTACAGGATCAGAGAATGACACCGTTCCTCTGTCATAGTCCAGATCAACTCTCACACGATCAAGCTTTTCTTCAACAGGAAAACCAGACCCAAGCAGTCCATACTCCACACACCAGACATCAGTGTTATAGAAAACACCTCCCTTCCTCTGGTTTGATGCTGTAGTTACTCCAAGACACCAGTATCGACTCTCTTTAACCTCCACATCCCAGCTGTGTGTTCCTGAGTTATAGCCCTCTGAACCCAGAACACAGTAATACTCATCAAACCTCTCTGGATTATCAGGAAGAGGTTGTTTATTCCAGCCGTCTCTCACACTGGTCAGATCATTAGACAGGATGAGTTCTGGATGAGCCGAGTTTGGATCCAGAATCACAGGAGCTGATGAGACACAATCAACAGATGCTTTTATTCTGATGTTATTGATCAAGAGTGAACCGAACACAGATTATTATGAATTATGACACTTGTCCTGTTGATCAAACACATCAGACATTTTCCTCTGATCACCGTCAGTGTTATTAGTTTCACACTCATTTTTATTATCAGTGTGTAATGGCATCAGTGACAAACATTAAATGTGATTCAATAATTTGTGTCTCATCAAGCAAAACTGATAAATATATCCAAAGTTATGTTATCGTTTGTGTTAGTTTGTTGGCTATACAAGACTAGCTGCGGATCAACATTATAATAACATATTTTCATCATGTTGAGCTATATCATCGATTAGTTTTATGTACATTTGCTCACCTGTATAATAAAGTACATGTAAGAGCTCTGTCAAGTATAAATTTGTCTCTGCACCTTAGAAACGCCACGCTGATATTGATCCTCGTTTTAGTTCTCTTTTTTTTTTTCTTCATTGTCCATAACGGAGGCCAGCTAGTAGTTGCTGTGTGAGTAAACCTCACTCCCCTGATCTCAATAGGTGCTCTAGCGACAGACCTGGGTGTGACGGGTTACACATAATGTTTGAAGGAAACAATAGAGCTGGTAAGTCCCGCCTCTTCCGCTAACACCGTTGGACCTCTAGGTTGAAAAACCGTCAATGCAAGTGAATGAGAGAAAATAATTATTTTCTAATCCCGTTTGAATTTTGCAATGAATATGAACATATGTTGTCTGTGAATTCTTTTATAATGTTTCATGTAAAGAATGCTGCAATTTAGTGGGTAGAATTTTCATACGGTTAGACTTTGTGTGAGAGCACTTTGTGGACTACAACTCTTTCGACGTGTTTGATATACATCACCCCCACCAGCGCGCACACGGATCCCGCTAAACATGCCTGTGTCTTTGGTGCACTTCACCGCCTTCTTTCAGGGAGAGGACAAACTAGTTGAGCGTGGTGAAAACCACTTCAGCTTTCGGCATGTGAAAGGGTTTAAGTACGCAAGTACTTAAGATAGCCGAGTAGTCTTTTTCGTTATGTCTATTCCACAACTGCTAGCCAAAGAATCATACAATATACTGTCAAACTCGTTACATGAGAAATTATATAAAAAAAAAAACATATGTTGCATTCATGGCACAATTCAAACGGGATCAGAAAATAATTATTTTCTCTCATTCACTTGCATTGACGTTTTTTCAACCTAGATAGGTCCAGCTGGAGTTTTACGGATGGGCGGGACTTTCACCAGCTCTATAACAGCGTGTCACTCACTAGACGTAACGCACTACGCAGTTGTCCACATCTGTCGCCATGGTTACTATGGCACTAAAGGGCTGCCAACTCGCGCAATAGACCTCTTTTGCGCCGACGTCACAGTTACGTCACGGCGCTAGCTGGAGGCAAAACAAAGTGAAAACTGGAGGCGGCCAATACAAACCAGCACAGATTCGGCTACATAATAAGGAGCTTAAATTAATTTTATCATTATTAAATGTCATCTTGTTGTGTTGTTTGGTGCAAGAATTGATGAAAAATGAATATGCTGTATCTGGAACTTTTATTTCTAGAAAATATTCACATCATTAAAATCGCACTGTAATGTCACTCTTTACATTGTCGTGGTCTCGGCGCTGGCTCTGCAGAACTGCGGATCGTACACACAAGTCTTGTACAGGACCATATAGGCATCTAAAGATTTATATGGCCTCAGTTTCTCTTTACGATCGGTTTCTCTATAAGGTAGGTGTAGAAGTCAGACCACTCAACCGAGGTAACGTACGTTAATCCTGTCAGATCGTTCATGCATTGAGTGAGCGTGTGAAGGCTACGGGTCGGCCAATCTGGTTCTGTCTGTTAAAATTAACTTTTGAAAATCGCGGCCCTGGACAGTGAGTGACCTTACACATTAAGATAATATCTGATTTTCTCCAGTCATTGTTAAAGAAACAAGCTAATAAAACTTGCTAACTAGCGTTAGTGAAGCGGCCAGATGGATCTTTCTGCCTCCACCTAAGCTCCGCCCACATAAATACGTCACCATGTTTACCAACTGTAAAGGGGTCTATAGAGTGCCGAAGTTACGACGTCACTCTGTAGGCCAAAACGCGGAAGTGAGTTAGCATTTTAGCACTACGGTTCCCTCGCTCTAAAGTCTATGGGATTTTTGAATGGGTTTTTGCTAAATCGCCTGAAATAAGGTCTGTGGTGAACAAAACCTCTAAATATTTTAACATTTTGATCTATGACATAGAACACACCGTTATAACCTGCTTGAGGTTTTTTAAACTTTATTGTGTTTGATTGTGTTTTTTTTTTAATCTTTATATAGGCTTCAAAATGTATAAATTTTGGATTAACAAAACATGTAAGGGTCACAACTCTTTGTTAAACACAGATCTTATTTTTTTTGCGATTTTCCAAAAGTCTATGGGGCAAATGCATTGCTTTTCGACCCGACCGAGGGAACCCATGCGGCGCTAGCTTCCGAGTTGTCCTACAAAGTGACGTCATCACTTCGGCACTCTATTGAGCCAATTCTCACGCTCTCACGCCACACCCCGATTTCTCACGCTGAAGTGTCAACCCGGTCGGTCAAATGCCAGAAAGATGTTTATCCATTGATCTACCTGTTGAGCCACTCGTGATCGACTAGATTTACCGCAAATTAGTTAAAATGTCCTGTAAACTCGAGACAGATGTTGAGTTCCTAACCGCGCACGCGCACGACGGCAGAGAGGTAAGCGAGCGAGAGACCTTGAAGAGTTCTGAAGAATCACAAATTAAGCCTCAAGTATCTTTTTACTTTTACTCTGTTGAGTTTGTTCTGGACTTGACTAGATAAAGAAAGGAGAAACATTAAAAAAAATAGTTGATAATATTCATTACCAGAACTAGTGCATTCTTTACTCACTATAACACAATAAGGTTCAATAGTTAACATTAGTTAATGCATTGACTAACATAAACTAACAATGAGCAAAAATTTGTTACAGTATTTATTAATCTTTATTAACTTTAGTTAATAAAAATACAGCTGTTCATTGTTAGTTCACAGTGCATTAACTAATATTAACAAGATTATAATAAAGTATTAGTAAATGTTGAAATTAACAATAACAAAGATAAATAAATGCGGTATGCGTGCAGTTCATTAATAGTTCAAGTTAACTAATGTAGTTAACTAATGTTAAAACTAATGAACCTCATTGTAAAGTGTTACCACAAACTGAAATAATCTAGTGCTTTTGTGTCATGATAAACCCATGCCTGATTTCCAGTGTGTAACAGCACAGATCTTCTCCAGACTCACTGTATTGAACGATATCCTGCATCTTCATCCAGACTCTGAACGGCAGGTTGCCCAAGTATTGTGACACATGAATCAAAGCTCCAGAAGCCATCTGTGGATCCGGCTGTGAGATCTGGACTCTGGAGGAACATTCAGGAGTCAGAACTGCAGTGGATCAGAACCAGAGAGACCACCCATTGAGCAAAATGATGTCCAAAAGACGTCTTTTCAACGTCTTGGTCACAAAAGTCGGACGTTGAAAAGACGTCCACTGAGGGGCCAGAATGAAAGTTTTTATGACGTCTTTTTATGACATGTTCTGCACGTCAAGTATAAGTTGTCTAAACGAGGCCATAAATAATGTTGAAAATGGCCACATTTGAACTAGTTTTTAACCTTGTACGAAGGATCCTTTAACGCTTTATCGGACGTCCAGAACATGTCATAAAAAGACGTCATAAAAACTTTCATTCTGGCCCCTCAGTGGACGTCTTTTCAACGTCCGACTTTTGTGACAAAGACGTTGAAAAGACGTCTTTTGGACATCGTTTTGCTCAGTGGGCAGAGACACCAGCAGATCACTCACCTTTCCATTGAGACTGGAAACTCCTGCAGAACAAACACACCATTCATCATCAAGAACTCAATCAATCAATCAATCAATCAATCAATCAATCAATCAATCAATGTTGTGAAATCAGACCTTCAGAAAGCAGACGTCATTGGCTTTCATCATCTTCTCTATGTCGTTGATTGTGTGTGAAAGATCTGAGATGTGTGTGTTCATCTCCTCCAGCTTCTCCTTCATCATCTGCTTCTTCTGCTCCTCTTCCTCTCTCAGTGCAGTGATTGTAGCTTCTTCTTCATCTCTGAGGAACTGATGTAGTTTCTCAAACTGATGTTTAATCTGACGCTCTGTGTGCTCAGCTTGAAACTGAAATCAAAATCACATTCACTTCAATTAGTGTGTGTGTGTGTGTGTGTTCCAGTTAATAAAGGAAAATTGAATTTTGCTAGACAAATCAGCTGTTCTAATTATATGTGTGAAAATGTCTAAAGGAATCAATCCTCACCTTGATGTGTTGAACTGTTTTCTCAAACTCTCCTTTAATGTCTTCAGTGTGTTGAAGTTTCTCCTGTAAAGACTTCAGTGCTGTATTGAGCTCCTCCTGGAATTCAAAGTGAAAATCTATGAGATACCAGATAGTTCTGAGAGATTTTTATATAATACATAAGCTTGAAGGGCTAGTTCACTCTAAAAATGAAAAGTCAGTCATTCATAGTTCTCCCTGATGTCGTTCCAAACCCATAAGACTTTTGTTCATCTTCAGAGCACAAATGAAAATCTTTTTGATGAAATCTGAGAGCTTTTTGCTCTTTTATGAAAAGGCTTAAATATAGTCAGCAGCCACGCCAATTCTGGCGCGCTTCGGCGGGAAGCGCCCTGATAGGTTTGCGCGTCCTCGCTGCTTCTCCATAAAGGAAAATGAGTTTTTAATCATATACTCTTAATCATATAAAGTGATCGAGTCTCTTCAGATAATTTTGACTAAACCGCTCAATTCAAATGGATTCGTTTAACAATCCTTGATGTGTCGAAGTGGTAGATGTGTGGCTGTCAATGGAGGGACAGAAATCGCTCAGATTTCATCAAAAAGATCTTCATTTTTGTACCAATGAACAAAAGTATTCTTGGTTTGGAATGACATGAGGGAGAGGAATTAATAACAGAATTTTTAGTTTTGGGTGTAGTATCCCTTTAAGTGTTTATCCTGATATTAAAATCTACCTTACCTTGTATGATGAAACCACTTCACCGATGGGTCTGAATTTATGATTGTCGTGTTTCTGTGAGTTAATACACACGACACACACAGGCTGTTTGTCCTCCAGACAGAAGAGTTTGAGTTTCTCACTGTGTAAACTGCAGATCTCCTCAGATCCTGATGAACGCCTCTCATTTCTCTCCTTCAGGAACGACTCACACAAGTTTTTTAGCACAAGATTATTTGAAGGCTCATGTCTTGACAATTTTCTACAGACAGGACACTCCTGAGTTTCCTTAGTTCTCCAGAAGTGTTGAATACACTCTTTACAGAAACTGTGACTACATGACAGAAGAACAGGTGTCTTGAAGATTTCTTGACACACGGGACAAGAAAAATCCTCTTCAGATAGTGAAGCCATTTTCTCTGTTGGAGATCCAGCAATATGGACTTTACTTTCACTCTCTGAATCAAGGTTTCAAAAATGAAAAAGCACAAGAAACACAAAGATCTGTTCAGAAACAAGTGTTTCCAATCCTTCTGTAAAGTTTTTTTTCTCTTAGTTCTTCATCAATTGCTATTTCTTCATGTTTTTGTCAAGACATTAAAGCCAGCCTGACAGGAGAAACTGTAAGTTCGTCTCTTCCTGGTAAGTGTTGTAAGAGGACGGAGTTCCTGATTATGTGTGTGTGTTTCATAATCTTTCCCTCACACATGTGGCCACAAATTATGGCGGACAAAATGTACAATTGTGAAAAACAAATGTGTACATATATACATAGACATTAATAAATGCATAAATACAAACATTTAAAAAAATATGGAGAAAAAAAAATACCATTATACATTGCAAGGAAATAAAAGTATAAATCGAGGGCTTGAAGTCAGAGGGGTGTAAGTGGCTTTTGACAAACTTTACTGGAGAGTAAATTTTGACCACACTTCAATCACCTGTATTATTAACTTTAAACCCCAAACCTTGCAAACACAGGCATACATGAATGAGTATTTAAGTAAATCATATAGCATATTAACACAATGTTCTAAAACATTTTAAAATCAAAAAGATATGTCAAAAACATCTGATATGCCTTTTGGCACCAAACATTTCCAAGTCTTCTATGGACATATTGTGCGTATCTGCTGAACAATGCAGAAAAAAAAATGACCAAAAGGGGAATGTTTTGCACCACTCTGACTCCAAGACCTCAAAATAATACATTCCTTTGTACATTTGTGTATTATTTTTGCAGTTATGACCTGAACCAGCAAATCAAAGTCTTCAGATTAACTAGAAAGCTTCAGTGGCACCGCAGGACAGAAGCTGCTCATCGCTGATGTATACTGATAATAATAAAAGACTCAAGACACTTTGTGATTTATTGCACTTTATTTGTAAATAATGAGTGTGTTTGAAGCTCACAGAGTCTCTCCAGCGTCTGTCATGAACAAATCTTTATCAAAATAATGAATTCGCATGTTGAAGTTCTGCTTATGGTGTCGATCTTCAGTGTTTGGAGACTCGAGCATCACTTACAGAGACACCAAACCAGTTTCTGTCTCTCCATCTGTTCTGCTCCATCCTGCAGGTCAACAGAAATAAATGCATGAAATATTATGCAGTGAGGATATGAAATCTAGAAGCATGAAACACTGAACTGAAGCTCTATAATGAAACTGTAGCAGGATCTGAAGCATCTCAGCTCTCATGAGGACAGAGAGAAGAGGACAGAGACCCTGCAGTGCTGTCGCACACATCCTACACCCCACAATGCACAGAGAGCAGCGCAGGGCTCTAGTGTATGCACAAAACAGCGATTAAAGGGTTAAACCATATGTTAATCACGACACTCTGATGTCTATTATCACTCAGGGCAAGTCAAAGGATTTTATAAAGTTCATAAAAAGCAAAAATAGCACACATCAGACATTACCTACAGAAAGTCTAAAAAGAGAAAGCATTTTATTACAAATTAATCATATTATATTAGTAATATTTTCCTCACTGAACCTCGTGGTAAACACGTGGCAACTGCGCTTCTGTCGCGTAAGAACCAACGGTTCTCTAACTATGCTTTGTTTTACGATTTTACGGTATGTTTTCTTGGTAAACAACATAATTAATGTATTCTGAATACCTTACATGAATCACATTAAACGAAAACTCCAACGCTGCGCGTGTTTTCTGCTTCTGTGTTCAGTCCTGCTGTTCCTTTCCTACGAATACGAATGAATGTCGGTCGGAGCGAAGAGACATGCGCATAAAGGCTGAGCTCATTAATATTAATTGTGTGACGTTCTCCCAGTAGGAATGCGCGGGATAGGCGGGCGTTGGGAGTTTTGGGTGTTGGTTAGCTGGCGATTCCTATTTATTTTTATCTTCAAACTGTTTTAGGTGCCTGTTTTACACATAGCTAACATTCTAACCGGACAAATACCTACAATACCATCAAATAAGAAGCAGAATAAAAACCGCCATATGGCAATAAAAGAGACAAACACACTTGTTAGTAATGTAAAAATGTAAAAGATATTTTTTTTGAGACGCTCTTAAATCAGGTACAGTTTTTAGATGCTAAAATATAAGTGGATATTTGGATATCACAATTGGATATTTGGATCCGTATATTGGATATTTGGATAATAATATTACATTTGTTTGTTTTTTCAGAAAAAAAAATAAGGAAGTGTCCTCACCTCTGTGCTAAACATAAGTGAGTCAGGCTGGCAGTGTTTTTACTTATTTCAACAAAAACTCCTTTTGAATCATGATAAACTGAGGGGACGGATTGCAAAACCGTCGCCTCGGATTGTTTTTTTTTTCCCCCACAGGTGACTTCCCGGGCTCCGTATGAATCTTTTCGTTATTTAGGGTTAATGCAAAATAAAAGTGATTAATTTAAATTGTGAACAGGCGAAAACAAATGCTTCCTGCTTGGGTCCTTGGGACTTTTATTCTGACAGCTTGTGGTCAGAGCATCTGATGGTGGTGTTTGTGTTTTGTTCTGCTCATGTTGTTCAGACTCCGCAGCGATGCGCTTCATCCGGACCTGTTTATATTCCTGAAACCCATCGCTCATATTATTCTGATTAATCTATCAATATCTGTTTTTGCTCATCTATGATCTTAATATGACGAGCGCTTACATCAGACCTTCAGCTGAAGGGGCCACAGGTTTGAAAATATACTATTATTCGCCATTATTTTTCTGTTTACATCTCTCTATAAAATGACATAACTTTTATGACAGATATGCCTGTCGTTTTAATATTTATGTTTCTGAGGTTAAATTATTGCTTCCGGCTACATGTATCGAGCCTTAATGTCATGTGTAAGCAGCAGGTTCATTTAGAGTTGAAGCAAAAATACTAAGAAGAAACGTCAAATGACAATTTTAATAATTATATTATTATTAGTCATATTATTTTTAGGGCTGTGCAAAAATTAATCGCATCCAAAATACAAT